CATCTCAGTAAATTACAGAATTGCAGAGCTTCCTCATATTTTTTTTTTACATATATTTTACTCTTGCACAACATTTTCTGAAAAGGTTCAACCAAAAGGTCGAGGGCATCGCATCTGTATAATCAGCTAGGAAGTGCACACTTGGTACCCTGAAGACAACACAGGGGTGATACTGCACCTTCAAACATTAGTTCCCTTTTGTTCTTAACGGCAGGTTCAGCTGAAACGTGCTTTACTATTTATTTTGGGGTTTTATTTCAAGCCATTCCAATAAGTCAAATAACTGGAAGTCGGGACACTGGAAAAGGTCTAATTTTGAGTAGCCTTCACATTGATAAAGGAATAAATAAATAAAAATTGCTGCTGAAAATGTTTTATTCTTTCTTACGTTTTTGTGAAATACTAGATACTTTTACTTCTCAGGGCCTCTTAGGTAATCAAATAAGACACATCTGAGATAGGAAATCACCCGACTTAGAACATGAACCGCATGATGAGGGGTCAAGCGAGACACTGCTTCATTTTGATGAGTCTCAAACTACAACGCTTGAAGAGCAAGAAAGAAAGATGGACCTTTATTGATCCCCCAGCGGGGAAATTCAATTTCAGTTCAGAAAGGATAGGATCTGTAGGATAGTGAGAAAGTCCCTGCTCTGGGCCACATGGCATAAAAAGGTTGCTACTGTATACTGGGGGCATTTAACCCCTCTGGCACTTCTATGCAAACCCACATTGTCAGTATCGCCAAGTGTGTGTCAGTATGTAAGCAGCAGGTAGTTAAATACAGTCAGTGGTCAGTAGAGGCATAAGGGAGCGCTGAAATAGTTACCAAAAGTCACAACACTGAACCTGTTAAATATTTGAACCAATACCATGTTGTATCGTAGTGAGTCTGTCTGATATTCACTGTAACACACAATGCTTTACCTAAGTCAAAAGCAAAATGAGGATTTCATAAAAAACTACTTACAGTAAAAGAAAAACCTCTCTCAATCATCATGTGTGCTGTCTGTATCTGCAGAGACCCTGCTGACCTATGCGTTCTTGTCTCGCTGTGTTTTGGGATGTTTCTGCCTGTTTCTCAGCCCCTCGCCCTCGGCCTCTTCTCCCCTGGGCTCTGTGCTGCCCTGAGACTGTAATCAGTGTCGTCTGAGTATAAAGCTTTGGTAGCTCTGCTAAATTCTTCTGTCTGGACACAAAAGCTATGCCCCTTAGCTAGCCAGACTGAATATGGCTGAACTTGTTAAGCCGAAGAGGAGGGGCCGACTTTCCATGTTGTGTTTACAAAAAGCAACCTACAAATCCTACTCGCACAGATTGAGGCGAGTTAAGTCATTCATAAGTCAATCAATAGAAAATGAATAGGCGATCATTTCAAATTTTCAATCGTTTTATGGCAACAATGTCCAACATAACTGAATCCCGGCCTTGAAATTGTGAGGATGTTATGTTTTAATTATATGACAGGTAATTGAATGATATGAGGACAAATGCTTTTTTTATTTCCTGACATTTGATGGACCAAATGATTAAGGCTGGTCAAGTTATTGTCAGATTAGTAGAGAATAATCAGCTGCAGCCTTACAATCAATCATACAGGCTGTATCATGATGAGATACAGCAAGAAACAGCATGTCAAAGCATGTCGGTTATCTGTTGGATACTCCTCACCTTGAACATGTGACCATAGGGAGGCTCAGACTATTTCATAAGTGGTTTATGGAAAAAGCTGAGAAATATTTGTGTATTATTAGCTTTAACAATTTCCAAATCAAACTATTTCAATTCAAAACAACCACATCAATTGATATTCATACTGGCAAGTATAACACAAACACAAGCTTTTGCTCCCATTCTTTAGTGTTCAAGCTTAATCTCCAGGTCAGCATTTACCTGCAGCTTGGCTACCTTGCTTGGCCTTCAACGTGCTTTTTGACAAGTGACAACACTTGGTCAACAAATAGTGCACTCTGGGCACATTTCAACAAGTGATCAAAAACATTTCTGAGGCAGCTGAGGACGTGTAGTTTTCCTCTCCACAAACATCTGGTTTACTTCTACAAGTTCTTTCAGTGGAGGCATGATGAGACACAGCTGCATTAAACCAACAGAAGGAGGAGGAGTGTTTGCAGTCATAAACTGAACACTGCATTAAAAAAGTGACAATGAAAAGTTATTAAACAGATTTCATGCATTTATACAATAACACAGTTCATACCGAGCAGAAGCAGCTTCACTTCTTTGGCTGACTTCTCTCTGTCGTCCCGCAGGTTTTTATCAATCATTTTACTCCTCTCCACCGCAGCTTTGTCCTCGGCGCTGATCGTGCAGCCCATGTTCACTCTCACAAAACTTCTTTAGCGTTGGATTGTGCTTTAGCCGCTCATGAGTTGAAGGGAGACGCCTTGAAACGAGCCCTCTGGTCGGTGCGAGCTGAAGTTTCCCAGCCGGGCAGCAGAAGTGCAGAGGGGGAAAAGAGGCGTTGGCACCGGAGGCTCTTCAGCGAAACTAACCGTCTGATGCTGCTGAGCTCACACTGCCACACACACTCTGGACAGGGAGCAAATACCCGGGTTTAGGCGGAAAAACTCACCAAATAGATGTTTTAAAATATTTGTATCCAAAGTTAGAACTCACAGAAGAAAATAGAAATTAGATCATAAGAAAGCAAAAACACTTAAAAAATGAATGTGTAGGAAAAACGACACATATAATCCACCGATTTTTAACTAAAAATCTCTACTGTTCCCCTCAAAATCTGGTGCTGCTGCGCAGTCGCGCGTTGATCCAGTTGTTCCAGCTGCTGACTAAAAGAAACAGCACTGAAAAAGGAACATTGATGCGCCCCAAGTGGCTGATGGGAAATGTAGTCGCTTCTCAACTGCCAGTATGTGAATTCACCCTGTGTAGCTTAAATATTGATCAAACCTCGAAACAAATCGAAATGTTTCTAACATGCCTCCGTGAAGGAGGTATTGTGTTATTTAAAACAAGCTGATGACACACCTGCAGGTTTGTTCATGACAGTTTACACTCATTTACAGCCAGAGGAGTGGAGCAGAAGTTTTGTGTGGTGTGAGAGAGCCCCCAGTGGATCTACAGTGGATTACAGGTGTGGATGCAGTGTTAAACCACAACAGACACCATCGACAGACTTCTCCGGTCATGATGTCAGGATCACATTTTTCTTAATTTATAAAGCACTTTTTTTGTCAACAAAAGGCTATTGGACTTTATGTGATATCCCGCTCACTGGTGTTTAAATGTTAGACTGTGAAATCTTCTGCAAGTTAAAAGGGGTATCATACCAAATGTTCTTACTCAGTTTTAAAGTCTGCAGTCAGGACGGTTAGCTCATATCCAGCCCTCACTCCTAACTGCAGGGTTTCACTTAGAGAGCGTCAATAAATGACTGTTAGCATGACACAAAACTAATGTGAGTTTCAATACCACTGTGGCTAACTCGCCCAAATGATTAAAAGTGATGCAAAAAAAGTAACTAATGTGTCTTTTGTGGCACTCATTTTTAAATAATAGATTGAGTTTACAAATTCGTTTTTTAGAAGATAATTTCAGTTTTTTCCATACATGTAGCTCCCATGTTATTTAACCTAGTCACTCAAATCAATGCAGCATTGTATGACTACACTGGATGAGCAGCACACACCTATTTTTGGTTAATTAAAGTCTAAAACACTCTATTATAAATTCATATTTTATTGACAATTCAGCAGTTAAACATTGGACATTTTCAATACAAATATTCATAACAAACACATGTGGACTAAAAAAATAATTGAATTCCCCTTAAGACCCCAGACCTCACTGTTGAAACCGAATATCATCATTTTTATTATTTTATATTTAAATACAAAAATTACTCTTTATCTCTGCTCCAGTCTTTTCCAGCCAAACAAACCAAGATATCAATGTACTTAGTTTAATCTCTGATCCAATGAGTGGTCTCAATTATCTTTATACCTTAAGTAAATTGTATATATATATATATTACAAAATATATTAGTGATATTTTATACAAGACGCCAGACTCATCCTCTGAATGAATGCGCTGTGCACCCAGGGGCCCCCGAGGGGGACATGATGGTGGTAGCGGACGTGTTGTGGCCCATCACAAAGGTCAGGCTGTTTGAACTGTTTCCCTGCGCTGTGGGGGCGCCCTCCACTGCTCGACATAAAAGCTATGAGTCACTCTGTCCGATGGGGAGCAGCAGAGGAGAGGGAGAGGAAATTAGGATAATCAGAACAGAAGAGCACGGTGGAATCTGTCTGAAAAGTTACAAAAACGACAGGCTGACACCGAATATGTATCCTGCATTAATTTGCAACATCAACTTAATAATCAATCATCTTGTATCCTTTCATATTACCTCAAACTCTGAATCTGCCTTATTCACTAGATTTAAGATTTAAATCAGTAATGATTCACCAATTAGTGCACCTATTGAAAATGGTGACGTCCCCTATGTTTAAGCATTTAGTGCACAAGTTGGGGTGTACATCACATAATATAGGACATGAAATTGTGGGATAAAGTGGACAGTGTGTTTGTGTGTGTTGGTTCATGACAAGTAAGCTAATGTCCCCCTCACTGCTGAGCTATAGCTTCCTGCCTACCTCTAAATGTCACTCCTCTTTCATCCTGTTCTGAGTACTTCATTTCACCTCTGTGACACTGCTCCCCCCCCCCCCCCCCCCCCACACACACACACACACACACACACACACACACACAACCACACACACACACACACACACACACACACAACCACAGATGCAGGCAGCTAGAGCGTGGAACAGAAAAAGATGATTGACAGGATTGATCGTGTGACACATGTGATTATTCGTCAAAACATTTCTTGTAACTACCACAGCAACTTAAACTTGTGCTGTTTTCTTGTATCATTTCAACTGATACTGTAGGTAACCAAAACACAGGGAAACAGACTGTAATGATAATGAATCCAAACAGTCTTTTCAGCTCGGGTACAAAAGACACATTATTTATTTACGATGAACAAAACAGTTTCTGACTAATGTCAGTGAATATTCCTGAAGCTGGGAATATTATCTGACATTCACCTTCAGAGCAGCTTATTTCCATGTCCTCATAATCAACAGATGGTAGCAGAAATAGAGCTTAAAGTATTTAATCAGATTGGTCGGGGCAATTTTGCTGCTACGGTAACGAAAATCCAGCTGATTGAATGGTGGATTCAATCAGCATAAGGGGCTTTGTAATGACCCCAGACGATGAGAAATATCACCCAATTTATTACAACATTGTACGATAAAGAGGAGATGATTAATAATGTTCAATGAGTAAGATAATCTGAAGAGATAAGACTCTTGTTCCTGTACCCTCGTGGAATCAATCAAGATAGTTCTATGTCATTTTGTTGCATAAAATGGTATGTTTATTTATTTACATACACACTTTTGAACATTTAGAATTATGGCAGTGATTGAGCTCACTATTTTCTAGGGCCTCACATTACTGCACACAAAGGAAACATTTTGAAACAAGATGACATGATGACCCTATCTGAAAAACAGTGTGCAACAGCGTCATATTGCAGGAATATTAAGAACATTATGTCTCCTCCTGACAAAGGGGCCTTTTTTTGTTCTGACTCCCAGCAAAATATGAACCTCCTGTATGTCTTATGATCATGCCAACAGTCCGGTATGAGGCAGCCCAAAATAGATAAAGGCAGCAAAAAAGAGCAAGTATAAAAAGAGACAAGAAAGTGTTTAGTAAAAGATTTGTGCCGTGTAATTTCTTTGGAAGATTTGTCACTGCTCGTGTGACTTGTGCAAACTGTTTGTATTCCACCTGAGATCAGAGAAAGTATCACCACAGTCTTCCATTTGTTGCTGTATGAGGCCAAAGGCAAAGCTTGCCATGTGTAAGCACCGTCTCACCTGTGTGCTGTGTAGCCACAACAAGCATGGTTGTTTAGAGCACAAACACAGGCGCACTCACACGGCTCCCTTGTTTACCTGTAAACAGCAGAGACATCGGGGGGGGGGGGGGGGGGGTTCACAATGTCCAAAATAGTCCACAACCTGCTTATTTTTTTTCTTTTTTCTTACAGTTCAACTGTGGTTTGACAATGTTTTTGCAAAGCTTAAATCCTAACACCATTAGTGTCATACAAATTAAAGCAGTCACAATGTTTTTCTTTGAGTGGAGGAGGGTGAAATCACGAGTGTACCAATGTGAGAGGATTTTGGTGAGGAGGTGATAATCACAAGACTGCAAACAGATAAACATGATAACTATGTTCCTGGAAAATGCTTAATAATACGCTAGTGTGTCAGCCTGTTTATTATAAATAACACCAGCAGCACCAGCTGTGAAATGATCCTGTTTAACACAATGAATATTTCAAAGGAATAGACCATTTTTAAAATGGTTCTGAATATTCATGCATTTCTACTGGGAAAACAACTACATTTTTACATGAAGTCCTTGGTGTTATGATGAGCAAGTGAAATAAAAACACTTGTAAACATATCCTCAACAAACCGGGCACGACAGCTACAATAACTCACAATATGTACTTTTCCCTCCTCTTTTCTCACGGTTTTTCTTTCAACAGACTCAAAAATATGTTTGAGATTAACTAGTTTCTATATATAGGTGAAGCAAAGTGGGTTTTATTGTTAGATCATTACTTATATGAATAATAAAACATCTGTTTGTTCATAGGGAACTGCTGTCTCGCTGAGCAAATATGAACGGATTGTCAAGGGGCTTTTTCAAGTCTTGGTAAGTAAGTAAAACAAGAAGAACATGAAAATGGAAGTAGAGCATTTTTGATGTAATCGCAGTGATGTTTTGTGACTTATTTCACACTTAACATTTTTGAACCTCACTTAAATGAGGAATAAATTAAGGAATGCATATCAAAAGTCACATTTCACTTTTTCACTTAAAATGTCATTAAATGGCTCTAAGAGTTTCCCAAGTGTGAAAATTGGTGTTTCCCCTGAAGTTTTGCACTCACAGAGTTTCAGCAATTCTTTTTTTCTGTGATGTTTGTCACACCACTGACCCGTGATTATCACAAGAGTTTAGTGTCCATCAGCTAACATCACATTGAAAACAGTCTGACACTGTACATACACACTTTTGAACATGTATGGCTCTGAAAACATGTAATGCTCTATGATACGAGCAAGATGGAACATATTCGTCTTCGTCTTTCTCCGAAATCTCGACACAACTTAAATTATTTTGAAAAAGACAACGTGTTTTGCAGTTCACTTGGTTGTTAGCTTAAAAGCACTGTTGTAGCATGAACAAAAGATGTATTAACTTAACACATTTTAGAAAATAAGAATAAAACTAAATATATTTATTGGATTATAGATGGCAAAAGAGACGGTACATGAGAGGCAGCTACAGCTCGGGCACAGTTTTGTAGCAGTTCTCTGATACATGTAGCTCATTGTTCAGCTGTTGCCGCTGTATGAACTCTGAGGTTTCCTCAAGGATCTGCCCTGGGATGTGGAAGTCAGCTGGCGTGTTCTGCTGAACAGCTGATTCCTGAAGGCCCTCAGTCTCTGGATCCTCTTGGCTGCCTCTGCTGTGCGAGTTGCAGGGCTCCAGATTGCATCCAGTGCCCTGAAGGAACTGCAAAAAGTTCTCCTCGATGGAGGCCTCGCGGCTGGGCAGCTGCTCCCCTTCGCTTGGCCCGGCCCGCTTGAAGAGGCAGGCCAGGTGGCGGCCCAGCTCCTCGCGAATTTGACGGTTAAGGAAGCCGTAGAAGAAGGGGTTGGAGGTGAAGCAAAAATAGCCTATCCATGTGACAACATCCTCCAGCTGGGCCAGTGAGGAGGGAGAGGTAGAGACCACCGCCGTGTAGAGATGGAAGTAGAAATATGGCAGCCAGCAGCAGAGGAACTGACCACCCACTGCCACCAAAACCACCGCAGCCTTCCCGCCGCTGAAGGTCCTCTGTGGGGTGGTGCGGGCGCCAGTTCCACCGAGGCTGGCTGCCATGGTGGAGTGGCTGCTGATTGACTCGGAGCGTTGTCGGGGCGTGTCCATCCAAGTGGGCAGGGGGCCGTGCTGCATGGCTGCTACCCTCGCCACCTTGAACATGTTGCAGTAGACCACCAGGATGATCAGCATAGGGCAAAGAAAATAGATGAACGTAAAGAAGACCATGAAAAGTAGCCGCGTGTGTCTGACTCCCGTCCAGTGAAGGGAGCAGTGTCTCTGACCCTGAATGAGGGTCGAAGGAGTACCCACACCCTGGTTCCCCTGAAGCAGCCATCCAACGAGAGGCAGCACCGACATAACAATGGCTTTAATCCAGATTAGCACTAACACTGTCACCACCAGCCCCAGTGTCATCTTCACCTCATGACGCATGGGGTGGACGATGTAGTAGTAGCGCTCCACGTTGATGGCACAGATGGTGAGGATGGCAGCACTCACTAGACACACACTCAGGCAGAGGTAGCTCCGACACAACGCCTCGTCCGCAAGGATTCGGTCTGACAGCATCCCCAGAGGCATCAACACCAGCGCTGCTAGCAGGTCCACCAGACACAGGTGGAACACAAAGGAAAACTTGCGTAGCTGCGGCGTTTTAGTGATCACAATCATCACAGCCAAGTTCCCCACCACCGCCAGCACATCGATGATGAGCATGGCACACAGCGCCAAGGACCGGTTCAGATCGAGCCCCCCTGGGAGGCTTGTGGCCGGCGAGGTCACGTTAGAGATATTTGGGTGCAGAGAGGCTGGAAGTATGGGGAGGCCCGAGAGAGAATGGTTCCAGGAGGGGCTCGGTGTGACAGGGTGCTCCATGAGAGGATGGGATAAGGAGGAAAGAGTCCGCTGAATTTCACGGGCCCATCACCCATCCTCCCCCGTCATAGGGTGTCACTGAGAAGCTCAAGCGGGAGTGTCTGTCATGGCAGCTGGAGCTGTAGACCTGAGCGCCGGAGACTTCAGCCTGGAGCTTTGCAGACGCTCTCAGTTTTCACTTATTTCCTGATTACTCTTAGTGAAGTTGTCCTTCTTTCTCCAACTTGACCTTCACACGGAGAGATCTGAAACAAAAGAGAAAGTTATTTTTAGAAGAAGTGTAAGGGAAGAGCCTGTGATGGTTTTCACAACATGCTCATGGTGGGTCCATGAAAAAAAACCATTACTAAGGAGATACTAGTTTGAAAACTGAGTCACTGATTTCCCCAAAGCATTGGTAGCATAAATATGGAGGTGATACTCACAAAATTCACAACTTCATAGAATTGGAAAACCTAAATAACTCTTTACCCAGACTACAAATACATAATGAAATTGAGGGGAGAAAATCTCTATAAACCATCAAACTAATCTGTTAATGCAAATACTCACATGACTTTAGTTGAGCCACCGATTAAAACACAAATCAAAGGAGGCTTAGATGAATCCTAAAGCAATCTAAGAATGTCTCACTTCTATAAAATTGCGGGAAAAAACCCAATTTAAATGCATTCCTTTGTAAAACTATAATTTATTTTATTTTACTGTGATCCTGGTAGTGATGTTGCTATATTGCTGTGAAGCCACAAGACACAGATGCAGTCTGCACTCACTTGTAGCCTGGGTCATAATTTACTACATATTTGACATCTGCATCCTCAGATGTGTGTTTTCAGAGCAGCCGGTGCCTCAGGGGGAAGTTAAAAGCGCAGAGTGGACCATATGTCCGACCTTAACGGAGTCTAGAGCAAACTGGATGAGTGAATACACTGTGAAACTCAGCATTACAGAGCTGCCTGCTGTCTGAAGTGATGGGAGACATCGATAAATACTTTTTTTATAACTACAATCATGACATGAGAAATATAAAATGTTAAGCTTCTTCTAAATGTCTTATGTATGCTATATAGAGTTTGAAAGACTGAATACACTTCTGATTAAAACGCTAATAGCTACATTTAATTGTGAAGTAAAATCCATGTAAATGGTGGCAGAGCAGCCTCAGCAGTGAATTCTTTTTGTGGCCAGTGTAGTAGTCATGTAGAGGCTCTGTGCTGTGTTTACTGTCATAACCTCACCTGGACACAACCCCACACACTGTAAAAGCCGTGGAACGGGCACTAGGGTTAGGGCTTTGGTACATTTCCATGTGCTGCACACCTGCATGTGCAAGTTTTCCATTTCATAAGTGTGACAGGATTCATCCCTGCAAGGCGCTTGTTGTTTTTGTGCCCGCGTACGCACATCGAACACAACAATCAGCTGGCAAACGTAGGCATACGTAGGTGGCCTTTGCTGAATAGGTCAAAGGGTCAGAGTCACCTTCAGCCCATTAAAATAACCAATAAACAACCACTCAGCTATGATCTATTAACAACTTTGAAGCAGCCCTCAAGTCTAATCAGCATCGATTGTTTTATTGCTCTCTGGTGTCCGGGGTCACTTTGGTGCCCTGAGGAGCACCAACATTGAAATTGTTGATGCAAAGGAAAATTATCACAACAACTCTGGGACGTGAAATGTTTTTGTCCATCAAAGGGTCTTTTATCACATGAAACCAAATTCAATTCAAAATTCCTTGAATTGCACAGAAATGTGGCTGTAACCTGTTTAGAGATCATTTTAAGAAGTCCAAACCACATAAACACCGCTATTTAAAAAATACGAGGAATTACTTGATGTCTCACATGCCTCACATGCAGCACATCCTCCTATTTAATGTAATCGAATCAATGAGGGAAGTACAATTAAGAGTCAAACTCTGCCTCCAAACAAACTCACACAAAGCTAGAATTCAAGGTTTCCGCAGAATCTCAGGCGGCCCACTGGAAACCATATGACCCAATAATATGCACATGACACAGTGTGTCTGCGAGCAGTTAACTAGCCTGTTGTTTTAGTGTCCCTTTCAGTCCTCGGCAGAATGTTGCCAGTGGAGTTTAAATAAAAATGGATCATTGCCATAAATCCTAAATCCTTTTACATGGATACACAAATATATTGGATTGTGTGATGAAATAAAACAATACCTCTAGTATGCTCTTGAGTCAGATTTTACTCTTGACCCACCTTTCCAACATCCTAACTTCAATACATTAAACACACACACACTCTGCTAACAGGGTAGGTGTGTGTGAGGATAAGTCGGTGACATACCTCAGTCTGAAGAGGGCTGCTTCCTCCTGTGCAGGTTAACAGTCTACTGAAGGAGAGCCGACCTGTTTCGCTTTCTCTCCATCACACACACACACCACGTCACAGACACAGAGAGAGAGAGACTGAGAGAGAGACAGAGAGAGAGAGAGGCGCTCCTGTGTCTCCTCCTCACCTGGCCCCTTTCATCTCGTCATCACCTCCCACCCAACCCAGCTGACCGCCCCCTCCCCATCCCTTCACACACACACACACACACACACACACACACACACACACACACACACACACACACACACACACACACACACACACACACACACACACACACACACACCTCCCACTGCTTTCCTCTAGCCAGGCCTGCGTTTCAGGTTAGAGGGACAGATGGTACTAAAACAATGAAGAGAAGGCTCCTGTCTTCCAGCCCGTGATGCACAAAGTGTGGACACAAACACAAACACACACACTTTCACACACACTTATACTGTCTCCGGCACGCGCCCAGGGCAACTGCAGAGCCGTGCGGAGCAGACAGGCAGGCGGCGGGTGGGCAGGCAGCACCCAGCCTCCCTGCTCTCCACTGGGTCTTAGTGCCTCACTGAGTCTGTGCTTCCTTCAGCTAATCTCCCCACAGGTCACATCAGGTTCCACCAACAGGCGCAGATGTTGCCAACAATAAGGGGAGAAAATCACCTTTCCCAGCATTTCTCTGATACTGTGTCTCCTTACGCACAGCTCACCAAGATCTCCCTACAAACACAATCCGGCAAAAGCTCTCTCACGAGGCTGGATTATTGATTAGCAGAGAGGAAAAGAATCCCAGTTGTTAATGTTAATGAGCTGAGATTAACATTTACAAAAGCCCGGCCCACACAACATACATATTACACATAGTGAACTATTTTCTGCCCTGAGGTAATGTTTACCACTCGAGTGTGAGTGGGATTCAACGGATTGTGCAATTCACATGTTAATCTCAACAATATCCTAACTCCCTTAGGGAATTTAAAAGAAAAAAGGAAAGAAATATTCACATGTGTGTATTCAGTTTGTTATTATGACTTCAGGTAAAACTACCGGCAAATGAGAAATAACAAATGTAAGGTCAGACAACCAACAGAAAAACCTTTTTTTAAATGCCTAAAGACAGCTGAAGCATTCAGTTGATTAACTGATTTGTTGAATGACAGAAAATGTATAAGAAAACATTGAGTTGTGGACTGTTAGTCAGACAAAACCAGATTGAATGTCACCATGTTCTTGGAATATTTTTTAGACTCAAAGATCAATACAAAAAAATAAATAATCCTTTACAGAAATACAAGTTGCAGCTCTTTACATTTTAGATATTCAATGGAAAGTATGATTCATTTCAATCAAAAAGTGCATCATACGTCAATACATTCACATATGGTGCAAAGTAAATAAATACACTATAGTATTACAACAACCCAATTGAACAAGAATTCCTGCAAAATTAAAATGAGTATGCCTAAGCTGCAGAGCTAATTACAACTACTTACAGTGTGAAACCTGTTGTTTGGCAACAACAATAATATCAGACAAAAAATATCTAATTTGTAATCATGTTTGGGTACTAGCCCCACTGTTAGACCAAAATAAGGGATTTAGGGTAACAGCTTTGACAGTAGATCTACTGTATGTTTTACATTTAAATGTTTTCATGTTTATGGTTATCTTGTTAGATTGATTATCTTATTTTGGGATTAAACTGTTGTAAGCAGGCTGGCTGACTGTTGCTGCCTCTGGCTCATGTCCTCTGTTGTTTTCTCTGAGGATCCTACTTTTTAGTAATGGTGCCAAATAAGATGATTTAATAACAATGTGCTTTGGACACAAGAAGTAACCTTTTGATGTATGGAGGTGGCTGTTGTATCTGTCAACTCTCATCATTGTTTCATGTTACTGTATTTTACGCTCTGTGTATATCCCCTGTTACCCAGCCTACAGTGCATGGGCTTTATTTTTAGGTTTCCTAGTCTCGATGGATACTCTGAAGATTGCCTATCCTCCCTCAGGATGTGCATGAAGGAACTGTCCTACACATCAATATGTGACATCTCTCTTTAATAAAGTGTATTTCCTCAGGGATTCATACATCAGTGGAAGTGCAGCTCCATAAAAACGCTGATTAGTTTACGAGTCATCGCTTGTTGTTTCTGATAAATCAATTGCTAATTTGGACACATTTTCTGTTATTGATCAGAGTGCTGTTCAACAAAGGTTACCCGAAATGAACCTGCTGTTGTTGTCTTTCGGGTGGGTTGTGCAGCAGGGACAGTGTGATGATCAGTCTGTGCTGCTGCTGTGAGGCTGCAGTCGTCCATATGATCTGTAGGAAGAAGGCCTTATGAGATATGCATTTCCCCCTGAAATGTGTTTTATTAGGCGAATGATTATAAACCAAATGCCCTGAGAGTACAAGATGTGATGATATAAAATACTAGTGAGGGGATTTAAATAAGGAAACGCAATATAGAGGAGTCTTTGTTTGCAAATGCTCCACTCTTCTGGTTCTGTGTATTCTGTGTATGTATGGGTGTGTGTGTGTGTGTGTGTGTGTGTGTGTGTTTGTCCTGTGACTGCGCTCGTGTCTAAGGTGTTGAATAATGATAAAAATAGCAGATACTTGCTCATGCCAGCAGCTCCAATCACAGGGAGGGAAATACAATGGTTTCCATGGCAACCCAGACTATCCCCCCCCCCTCCTTCCCTTAACCTGCACTCCCTCCACCCCCACGTTCATCCGGCCCCCCCCCCCCCACCACCCTCCAATTCACCAACAGCAGATAAGGCCTCAGAGCATAGACACTATCACCTGACTGACAGCCATTAGGAGAGTGTTCAATGTGTTGTGAGCATGTCGGTGATTATTCTCAGCTTTTTTTTAAATGATCCAAAACACAGGTGTTGTTCAATTTACTATTGATGTTGTTCATGAAGCCTTATCCAAGTTAGATCCTAAGAAACCGGCTGGCCCGGACAACGTAGAACCTTTCTTTTTAAAGATAGCTGCAGATGTTATTGCTCCACCTCTCACTTCTCTTTTTAACCTCTCCCTCAGCACAAATGCAATTCCAAAAATATGGAAGTCAGCTTATGTCCTGCCTTTACTGAAAGGAGGGGAGGCAGCTATTTTAAATAATTATAGGCCCATCTCTAAATTGTCAGTTCTGGCTAAGGTTCTTGAACGCCTAGTGAGTGAGCAGGTAAAGGAGTTTTTATGTACAAATGACATCCTGTCTAAACATCAGTCAGGTTTCAGAAAGCAACATAGCACCATCACTGCCACAATGAAAGTGGTGAATTATATTGCGAGTATTTTAGATAATAAGCAAAGTTGTGCAGCTCTATTTATTGACCTTTCCAAAGCGTTTGATACCGTCGATCATTGCATCTTAAAGCAGAGGCTAGTCAGTATTGGCATATCCAGCCATGCAGTGGGGTGGTGTGTGAACTACCTCTCTGAAAGGTCCCAATGTGTTCACTTTGATGGGCTGTCTTCTGAGTGGTTAAACATTACTAATGGTGTTCCCCAAGGTTCTGTTTTAGGTCCACTTTTATTCTCCATCTATATCAACAGTTTAGGTGAAAATGTCGATGGAGCATTCTTACATTTTTATGCGGACGATACCGTGATGTACTGTGTAGGTCCCTCCAGTAAGGAGGCTGTTGTTAAATTACAGGCTGTTTTTAACATTATTCAGACTCAGCTCTCTGAACTAAAGCTTCTTTTAAATGTTGATAAAACTAAAAATAATAAGGTAATGCTCTTTTCTAAAGTTAAAAAGACACCAGAGACTGCTTTGGATAACTACGCAATAATACTTGAAGTGGTTGCCTGTTATAAATACCTAGGTATCTGGCTTGATGATTGTCTCACTTTTAAACTTCAGGTCAATAACCTGCTTAAAAAGCTGAGGGTTAGACTAGGTTTCTTTTTCAGAAACAAGTCCTGTTTCTCATTTGAAGCCAGGAAAAGGCTCTGTGACCTTTTGACCTGTGCTGGACTATGGTGATCTGGTCTATATGAATGCACCTGCCCATTGCCTGCACAAGTTAGATGCCGCCTATCACAGTGCACTGAGATTTGTCACTAATTGTAAAGCACTTACACATCACTGTACACTGTATACCAAGGCAGGTTTGCCATCACTTACTGTACGGAGGCTCAGTCATTGGTACACGTTTATTTATAAAGCCATGTTGGGTAAACTCCTGTATTACATCTGTTCACTGATAACACAGAGAGTTGCAAGCAGCTATTGTCTGAGATCGCATGATGTAGTGTTGTCAGATGTGCCAAGAGCAAGGACTGTCTTAGGTAAGACAGCTTTTATGTGCGCAGCTCCACTTGCTTGGAACAATCTTCAGCAAGAATTGAAACTGAGCAATTTCATTCCTCTGCATGTTTTTAAAGCTAGGCTAAGTGAAATGCTTTTTGATACCATGGGTACTTGTAAATGTCGATAAGTATGTAAATGTAGCTTGTAAATATGTTGTATGATGTCCTTTATTGTTTTATGTTTGTTTTATGTTTCATGTGGAACCTATTTGCTGCAGGTCTCCCTTGAAAAAGAGATCTATGATCTCAAGGGACCAATCTGGTTAAATAAAGGTTTGAAATGAAATGAAATGAAGGTGGTCTGATTCAATGACAGCAGCTGATTTTATATTGTTTTTAAGTGTATTTTCACATCTCATCAGTAGGGGGAGCTCTCACATTTAACTTGTAACTGCATCACCTGCAACACCACACAATATCCTTCAAATCAGGCACATAGACATTCAAAAGCCACTGACCTTCAATTAAGTTCAGCTTTGTATATGGTTGCAACGCTGTGTCATAATCGTGGCCGTAAAATGTTTGTTTCACACTGACATTTGTTGGCCTCAATCAATCACACACACTGTGGGCAAAAGGTTCAACACTTAATGGTTCAATAGTCATGTCAATTTTTAAGATTAGACTAAATGTGGAGGAAAACAAGTATTTGTCGTTCATTGTGTTTTAGTCACTCAGACACAGACTCACTGTTCTAAGTGCGATAAAAGAGATCATGTTCAGACTGACGTCAAAAGCCCCAGGCGTGGCTTGATCTACAAAAGTCGTTTTGTATTATTTCCCAAAGAGTTTCACAAAGGACAAAGACAAACCAGCACCTGAGGGTTCACATTATTTTAA